CTTTGTCTTCTCATGACACTACTAATCACACACACTCATATATCTTGCAGCAGCATACTTGGGGCGAAACACAAGTCATTTCATGTAAACATAAGTTGCGTCAAAACACAAACTACAATATCTTAGTAAGCTTATTACTGCATCGCTTCAAGGCAAGACAAGTTTTCGATATTTGGTTGTATACTGAAGTAAGTACGTGTTACGGAAGCAGATGTCAAGCACATAGAGTGCTTTTGTTTTTTCTTAAGCCTTATACAATTGCAAACAACATTTACTTCCTCCAAACGGTTTTGTTTTTGTCCATCATGTACCACTATGTTAATTAAGGAAACACTTCATTTGTTTCTCATCACAGTCTTCAAAATCTCATTGACACACAAAATTCTTTCAACTGTCCAAGTGCCACACAGCAAAACATAATATGAGAAATATTAACCATTTCAGCTAACAATTCACCATTTTTACTTTTAAATAAATGTATGTTGAAACAGTATGTGTAATCTACTACTTCAAATCAAAATTTTAATTGTGTAATGATTCCACAATAAGCAATAACAAGTTACAAACTCAGAAAATAACATGATACATAACACTAACACTAACATTATCACAGTTCCTAGAATTCAAGCAACAACAACAGTAACAGTAACTAGTATTCCTGCATTTGAAGTTTATGGTGAACATAAGAATGACCAATAATACATTGCCAGTGCTTAACGCACATTATTCTTGTAACAGAATCCTTTTCTAATCATTCATGTTTCAATATGTGCAATTCTTGCTTTCCTCTGGTGGATTCTTTGTCACTCTTTGGTTGACAGAAGAGAGGACAATTTGTAAGGTACTACTGACCTTTTAAAATGATTTGTTTTAAATTCACTCATTCATGGAGCTGAGCCCTTTTTGAGATGCTGCCAATTGTGGAGCCATTCAAGAACTTCCTAACATTTTATGGAACCCAAAGGTTCATTACCATGTCCACAAAAGCCCTCTACTGGTTCCTATCCTGAGCCAGATCAATCAAATCCATACCATCCCATTCTATCTCCCTAAGATCTATTTTAATATTGTCCACCCACCTAAGTCTTGGGCTTCCTGTTGGTCTCTTTCCTTCTGGCTTTCCCATCAATATCCTATATGCATTCCTCTTCTCCCCCATTCATGCTGCATAACCTGCCCATTTCATCCACCTTCACTTGAACATTCTAATTATACTTGGAGAAGAGTACAAGTTACAAAGCTCATCATGTAATTTTCTCCACCTCCTGCTTGAATCAATTCTGCCAGAATTTTTAATCACATAAGTTTTCTAATTATAGTTTAATCACTCACAAAATGTCATTATGGTTTGCTCTCTGCACAATTATCATGTCTTCTCACAGCTAGATAAGCAAGCTGAAGTATAGCATATGAACACAAGTAAGATCTGAACCATTTGCTGATAATGATAACACCAGTGGATTTTCCATAGAATTGATATATATGAATCACAATATATCATCATTTACTATCCCAAATTTTAAACCCTTAGGCATTTGATACCACATACCAAATAATTATCAAGAAAAAGTAAGGAATATTACTGATAAACATATTATTGTGAGAGTTATCAGCATTCTGGCACTCTGTTTTTGAGCCAATTTCTCTGCGCTTCATCCTTGACCTTCTCCAGGCAAATTCCTTGCACTTTTGGAAAGGAATATTGCTGTTAGTGTGCATAAAATCACAATAATCACAGCAGGCAACACACAGTATAAAAAAATCCCAGTAAACCACAAATTCTATGTTGGCAACACCACAGATGTCATCAGAACTAATTTCAAAAGTCAGTGTCCTCAGAATATGAACTGCAAACCCCACAACCCAACACTATGAGTGAAATATTCAGTTAAACTTTCATGTCCTTGCACAGACTTAAGAGCATAGAACCGGCTTATACACACAGTGACTATTGATTAAATACTAAATGCAGCACATAATTCTATAATATACACATTTCCAAGGCTACCTAACCATCCAGCTTGCAGAATTCTGAGCATCAGAAAAAGAAGCAAGCTTAAAATGAGGTTTGACTTGTCAATAATAGCTAGATTTAATAACATATTTGGCATGGTATGAAGTTCACTTTTTTTGTATAAATAATATCATACTAGTGCCTCCCACTACTCCAACAATGAACATTATAACCAGTAGTGGGGTCCTGATGTAATAAGTATGGAATCAAAATGCCTGAACAGATGTTTGAAAGTCCTGATATTTAAGTTACCAGTCTTTTTTTTTTTTTTCAGTGTTAATATTTGACAGAAATGGGTTATTAAACTCAGAACTGAGATTATTAATATTCAAACATTCATTGTTAATATTTGACAGAAATGTGTTATTAAACTCAGAACTGAGATTATTAATATTCAAACAGCTAAGTAATAAACTATGCTTTTCAAATATAATATCCAAAATATTTCAAAATTCATCAGTCTAATTTTGAAATAACCTGTGTTTACGAATGTCAAATGAGTTATCAATTTCTAACCATTTCCTTTTCTTGTCCTTGAAGGTATTCCAATGTAATACAACCCTACAAGCTTCAATATTATCACAGAAAAATGGTTTTAAATTTCCATACAGCATACACTGTGGCTGTAGTGTATACAAGGATTGATGCTTCAGAAATCTTTAGGAAGACAGTAACATCATGTTCAATCTCCTGCCTTATGTTGTGGCAGCAGTTTACAAGACTGCACCCAGCATGTATGTTTCCTGCAGCCATGAAGTCATCTTACAGGTAAGTATAGAATTTTAATTTCGTGCATCCTGCCATGTTACAATATATACAACCTCTTTATTTGACCGTCACAACACAGCAAATATAGAACTTCAAGGACAATGCTCAGTTATAGTTCTGCTACATGTTTCAGCCATGAGTGGCCATCATCAGGCAAACACACTTCAACAAACATACACCATTGAACTGCAATACGTAAAATTTGATACAATTTTATAAATCATTTAAGATAATTTGAACAAGAATACAATAAGTAGGTTGTTTAAAACAATAACAAGTCATATATAAAAATTAAAATTTGATTTTATAAGAAACTCGAATTTACTATTCGTCGATAGAAATGTATGAAAAGTAAAACCAACGACCGATTCAATGTTATTAAACATCAATCAAATTTTAATTTTTATATATGACTTGTTATTGTTTTAAATAACCTACTTATTGAATTCTTGTGCAAATTATCTTAAATGATTTATAAAATTGTATCAAATGTTATGTACTGCAGTTCAATGGTATACGTTTGTTGAAGTGTGTTTGCCTGATGATGGCCACTCGTGGCTGAAACATGTAGCAGAACTATAACTGAGCATTGTCCTTGAAGTTCTATATTTGCTGTGTTGTGATGGTCAAATAAAGAGGCTGTATATAAGTACAGAATTACCTAATTCCTGTATTCTGGAAATAAACCGCAGAAAAATGTTGTGTAAAAAAATGTGTTCATTGTATATAATTTCCTGCACAGAGAATACTGGAAAATGTGGAACACAGAAATGTTTCTTGTACAAAACTTATGTTGAAGTGGTGGACATGCATTTATTTCAATGCAAGTACCAGCTAAATTCTGTCACCAAGTTGAGATGAATCTAGTTTACGGTGAGCATAGACAGCAATATTTGTTTTGATTTACAAGTAACTAGATGCAACGTCTCTGTGATGTAAAATCCTTCAAGATCACAAACACCTGATATTTGCAAGCACATTTCTCTCTCATGTTTACATGTCATATGTATGTTTCAACAAAAAACGATCATATTTAATTTATTATATAATTAAACCTTATATTCCATCAAACATAATACATCTCAACTAATTCTCAACATGTCTTAATATATGTATTTCTGCAGGTAGATGATAGCTTTCCCCATTTCAACTAACAGCAGTGTGACCTAACCCTACCACAGCTCCCCTGCTCTTCCCAAACATCAGCCTTCAGAACTCTGTAAGCACCAGCAGCTGAAAGACACCTGCTGCTTTCAGTCATTAGGATAGAAAAGTTCTTCATTATGTATTAACAAAAACTGCATAATTAGGAGCTTCATAACTTGTACTCTTTGCCAAGTACAGTTAGAATGATCAAATCAAGGAGGATGAGATGGACAGGGCATATAGCATGCATTAGGTTGAAGGGTAATAAATATAGGATTTTGGTGGGAAGGCCAGAGAAAAGAGACCACTAGGGAGACCTAGATATAGGTGGGAGGATAATATTAATATGGATCTTAGAGACAGGATGGGGTGGTATGGACTGGATTGATCTGGCTCAGGATTGTGACCAGTGGAGGGCTCATGTGAACACAGTAAAGAACCTTTAGGTTCCATAAAATGTTGGAAAATTCTTGAGTAGCTGTGCAACTGGCAGCTTCTCAAAAAGGAAAGTGCCATAAAGTTAGTTTCTTTATGTAGCAGTGTTAACTTCCTGACTTGTTATTCATCCCTCTTAGGTCCCAAATGTTTTCATGATCAATTTGTAATATATCCCTTCCCTCAAACTGGACCCACATTTCCTACAGACCTGGCATCTTTTTTTTTTTTTCCTAATGTGATCTATTATGATGGTAATGAACCTCTCGCTCACTCCGTGGCTTTAGTCTCCAAGTGAAATATACCGACTGAGCGACTGCCACATGTCAGCCAAATTGGTGTCAACTTTTGCAGATAGAGGATGTCACATGGTAAGCAAAACAAATGCCCATGGGCATTAATTTTGGATTTCTAGACCAGACCTGCTACTTTTCCATTCAAGTAGCTCCTCAATTATCGTCACAAGGCTTGAGTGGACCCCATTCCAGACCCAATACATCTCAGAAAATCTGATAGCGCCAGGAATCCAACCCGGGACCTCTGGATCTGTAGCCAGGCACTCTTGACCACAGAGTCAGTCCTCCAGATTCCATAAAAGGTAGAAAAGTTCTTGACTAGCTGATGAACTATTCAAGAAAGACTCTCTTCTATGAATTTAATTATTTACTTACTGTTGATACCACATTTGAATTCTGCAGCACTCTGAAATGATTTTTTATGTACAGTTGGATTATGAGGTTGATCCTGATTTTGGTTTGCGTTGTGGATAAACCTGAGGTTATGGCTGACACATACAACATAACCTTCTACGTAAACTCATGAATATTATGTACTGAATAGATCACTAACTTACATACATAGTAGATCAGAGTTGCTGAGAAGCTAACAGCCATTCAACAGGCGAAGGAAATCCTTGCTTTTCATGGGGTCCAAACGTTTATTACACCACACAATGAAACACATTATTGGATATAAACATATCTTTAAATGTGTACACATAAAAATTGCCAGAATATGATCCAATAAATATATTAAATATATACATAATTTTGTACTTTATAAAGCGTGAACCATCAGTAGCAGGTTGCATTTTCTACAACAAACTGACCAACAACATAAAAAGATAATAACAACCAGTTTAGAAAGGAACTGAAGAACTTTCTCATTAATTCATTCATTTCCTTTATTTTCCAAATATCTATATAGGTAACAAACCTAGGATGTGGAAATGGTCCTTTTGAAAATAGATATATCAAGATACATATATAAAAGTACAAAAGTCATACAATCAAAATCACTTACATTAATAGATTAACATATATAATAGTATAAAGTTATTTTTAATAACTTAATATTATTATTTTTCATACATTTCCTGTTATAAGTTAATCTTATCATTATTGTAATTTCTACTCGTATAATGTATAACTTGGATGGACATATCCTATATCAACGTATTTTGATTTCCAGGATGAACAAAACAGAACGAATAAATATTTTGCAGCAATTATGTGAAATAACTTTATTGAGGTTATGTATATGTGGAAGCAAAATTTAACAGACCTTTATTTAAGACACTGAAAGTCAAACCATCCTGTGGAACCTGAAACACGGTAACTCCAAGCCGTGACACATCACGAACATTACGTTTATCATCGTCAAAGAAAATCATATGTTCAAATCTGATTCCTGTCTTAGCACGTAAGTTATTAAAATGTACTGTCTTTGTACCGGGATATATTTCTTTATACCGAAAATACTGTGTTATGTCAAACAGGTGTAACAATTGATATGCCCCTGGTATATCTTCTATTCTTGATGCAGCAGCCAAATTGTAGCCACTGTTTGTTAATGCCCTCAGAAGTTGTGGCACCTCAGGAAAAGTCTTAAACACTCTGCCTCTCGTATCGGTTATATTTCTTTGTCTGCTTATGCTGAATGGACTTTTAGCATTTTTATCAACCCTGAAGGGCCATAATGTAAAATCTAAATCCAAAACTATCAGCGCCGGTTTCTTCCAATCTTCTACCTCACAGAGTAGACGACTGTGCATGTTTATTCACGAATCACAGAATTATTATGGTAAACTGGTAATATCTGAAAGTAACAGAATCAAACATAGTTAGATAAATATGTGAGCAGTGTCACAAACATTTCAGAGGTGCATGCTGCATCCATCTTCATGGTCTAGTTGCATAAAGTGTATGAGTTTCTGTGCATATGTTGATGCAAAAGAACCACAGTAGGAAAAGTGGGGGTTGGTGTCCCATACATGTCAATAGGAACAGTGATGAGGGAAAGTTCTGTTTCATAGACTTATGTACCCTAGGCCACTCGGACCCTGAAGATGGAAGTAGCACACATTTACAAAATATCAGCAACACTGGCCACATCCACATGGTGTTAGGATCAAAGTGCTGAATTAATATGAGAAGTGACAGTAGGTCAGTAAATATGTGACATCTGAGTTTCTGACGGTGGTGAATGTTATGGCTTTTCAATACAAACACTTTACCAGCCAGTGAGTTGGCGCTCAGTGTGAATCTGATTTGTGACACTGGTTATCCTGACTAGGGATTTTCATGTTTCTCTTCAGTCCTTCCTTGCAAATTCCAGGATAGTACTTAAATTAGGCCATGACAGCTTCCTTCAAAAGCCTCTCCAATTCATCAGTCATCATACCACTTGATGTTTTGAAGAACAGATATTGAAAGTTATTAATTAATTAATCTACAAATGCAATGTTTCAAATTGGGTCAACATATAACCTGAAATAAAAACACAGGATAGAAACCATATTAATTAGCATAATCTGATAAACATGAAATTAAACATAGAACCTGAAATAAAAACACAGGATAAGACACCATATTAATTAACATAATCTAATAAACATGAAATTAAAGAGTGTTTTCTTTAACTATGGGTAAACCCAATATAGGCTGATCAGTTCGGTAGCAGCATATATTATGTATTCAAAAGGTCAATGGTTTGAACTTCTGTTGGGCAACCAGAAAGCGTTGCAAAAATATTATCTCTTTCAGTCTTTCAAGGAAGTTAAGTTACTACAATTTAAAAAATCGGGTTGATTCCTTCGCAAATCCTTAATCCACCATTCATAATTATCGTTATCACATTACTGTGAAATAACATCAGAAGCTTATGTGCAGTCACAAGACTCACGTCAGCTAACAAGACAATCCTCTGTTCAGGAAAAATTTCGTTTTCAAAATGTATTAACACATTAAAGAGCAAGTAACCTGGCTAGTCTTTCAGAATCGGTCCACTATGTGTTACATTACAAACCAGTTAACAAACAAAGTGCAAAAAAAATAAGCACAATATTATACGAAATCAAACCTAAGCTGCGGGATTAAATTCTACCGCAAAATGTAAAATAAGTCATGCACTTTCGTCCACCCATCCCCAGTGATCTATGCTGTAAACACTGAAACATTGCGTACCGCGACTCATCAGTCAAGATAACTTACAACTTTAATAACCAACGAAAGTATGTTTACTATTACAGAACATATAACACCCTAATTGACATACGCCTCGAAAATAAATACGTGGATGTCGCAACGTTTGTTGAGCATTCAGTGCGCCATCAAGAAGATTAAGAAACTCACTTACTTTACGACTGGCGGTTTACCGCCAATCGGTTTGTCTTGGCGCCAAGCCCCGTGATATTTTTAAACATCGTGTCCTAGTTGCTATATTATAAAATCCTAGAACTAACAAATCTCATTTATGCTTGGCATTCTTGGAGTTTAAGGAATATATATAGTGTGCAATGTCTTAAATTATATTACAAATATGAAAACTGGTTGTCAGGTTGGCAGCAATGGTTTGCGTATGCACAGCTGTTCCATGATGTGTCTGATGTAGTGAAAAGAAATGGTGGGATTGTAGTTTTGTGTTGCCTTATATGTAATTCTTAACACAGTTATCAAGTACTTGCAAAACGTAAAGCTCATATTGTTAACTAAATGATGTAATGTATAATATAGACTCAAAATATTGATTTTTTTAACGTATCAGGTTTCAGCTTGTTTGGATTTTGTTAAGAGAAAATTATGTGGATTAAAATTTATAGCTTCTTGACACCAAGTCGTTCGTTTGGAAAGATCAGTCGGAATGTTTATACAAGTAGGTAAGAGAGAGCACTCTTAAAATGTAATTTCTTGCATTGGCCATTTCAGAAGATAAGCAGTGCATTAATGCAACGTTTATTTAATACATCTTTGTATCAGATATTTCCGTAAAACTCACCTGTATGTTACTTATTTTCAAGTAATGTTTCCTTTGTTGTATAAATGCGCGTGCACAGGATTAGCGAAAAGTGATATATAAAAAGGCTGAATCGGAATATATTGACATTTCGAAGAGTTAATCGAGTTGTGTGAATGCCACTATACAAAAATAAAGATGCATCCTTAAAGGAAAGATTTTGTTTTTTTTTCAAATCAAGTATATGAATGTTTACTTAAATAATTATTTTTGTGCATTTTTACAGAATTTTATATGAAACTCATTATGAAACTTTGAAATTACCCAGAAATTGTACAACTAAAGATGTGCGGGATTCTTTCATCAGATTATCAAAACAAGTGAGACGAATTCTATGTTGACAGCATAATGGGAGTAATTTTCTGAGTAATGAATTTGTGGTATGTTGTGTATCTGTGGCTTCAATTCCTTCCAGTGTCATCCAGACAAAAATCAAAGTGATCCAACTACCACGCATACACAGTTTGTGAAAATAAATGAAGCTTATAGTGTTCTAAGCCACCCAGATAGGAGACGTACATATGACCTAACTCTCACTCCAGAGGGTGGATATAGCCAAAGGCATGAAAATACTCACTTTGATATGTACACAACCACATCTCAAAAAGGAGGGTAAGTTATATGCTTTTTCTTCTTTTTGGATCTTAATTTTTATTAAATGAGACGAGATTTGAATAGGAAGATTGTTGTTGTTCTTATCAACCAAAGTTGGTGATTATTAATGAATATATTAATATTTGAAACAAAACATGGTGATGCTTCATCTTCACTGCTTTAACTTTGCTTAATAATATTCTGTTAAGAAAATCTGAGGGAGTTAAAATTGTAGGATATGAGTGATGCAATACAGGGGTACCAACTGTCAATTTACTGTCTGCGGAGAGAGTATTTATCTCCAATACTATGGACGAAAGGGAGCCAGGATAGTGCAGTTGATATAGCGACCGGCTACGGGCTGGATGGCCGAGGGATTGACGTTCAAGTCCAGTAGGGGCAAGATTTTTCTCCTTTCCACATTGTCTAGACTGGTTCTAGGTCCTACGTAGCCTCCTCTCCAATGGGTACTGCGGGCTCTCCTTCAGGGGTAAAGTAGCCATAGCATGAAGCTGACCACTCTCCTCCGACTAGTGCTGAGGTCAAGAATACATGGATCTATACATATACTTCTTCATATGTTTTCATGGCATATTTAACTGAAGGGTAACTAAGATCTTATTGTGACGATGTTACATTAATACAAATATTATGTTTCTGGACATTATCCATCAGCCTGTCTTTATCTAAAAACACTGTCCATTTATTTTTCAAAACAACGTTTTGGAGACTTGATTCTGTATCCATCTTCAGGTAAAACCTGTTCAGTTGTGCCCAATCACTAGAGCTAGTCCCCATCTCTGGAAAGTCTCCAAAATGTCGTGTTTTGAAAAAAAAACAAGACAGTGTTTTTAGATAAATACAGGATGATGGATAATGTCCAAAAACCTAATATTTGTACTAAGGGTAACATTTATTTGTATTGCCTGGAAGCAGGTAATTTCAAATCTCCTGGTGCTCTGTACCTGGGGGCTAGCATTTTTCTTGAAAAATGCAATGCATGGCTGGCCGGACCACATGCATGCACCACTGTAATAATAAAGCCAGACCTGCCTGGTAAAGGTTAATTTCACCACACTAAATTTTATAATAAGTTTCAGAGTTTGGAAAGATCCGTCATTCTGGGAATATCGAGAAGAGAGTCGGCATGACAGTGGTAAAGACAGAGACTACTATGGCATCAAAGGTTTGAAGAGAGTTCATAATGGTTGGATTGCTGTTCTTTGTGTTGTTTTCTCAGCCATAGGCGTCTGTCTACAGGTTATCTTGATTCGGTAAGTTGGGTGTTTTTAAATTCCCTGTTCTTAATGTTATATTTTAGCATCCTGTTGCACCGATTCACGTTCATGATGTGTATTTGTACCAACCATCTTACTTTCACTTTTCTCTTCACTATGTTCCAGCACTAATGTGCCATCATCAGGTGTGGTTTTATTTACGTCAAACCATTGCACTGTATGCCATCATGTCTCCTTTATAAGATGGTTAAAATGTATATATATCATGTATAATAATAAAGTTTATATATTAAGACTTTTCAAGATTTATCATCTATATGTCGCACTTCAAATTCGCGAGTTACGTCAATCCTCTCCTATGGGAGTACTCTTCCTATATTCTTGTGTATATTGTGTTCTGTGTTGTGTCCTTCCCTTGTGACTGCGTGTGTTGTATTCCCTGTTCTTCATGGTTTGGTGCTTAATTAGTTTAGCACAAGGACAACTTTCACCGTGTTTTATGATTTCCCTGAAATAAACAGTAAGGTTTAATCAGTCTCATATTCTGTCACCACCAGACAGTATTGACCATGAAGATGAAAGTAGAATCTTCCTTCGAAACATCGATATTATCCACCTGCAGTACTACATGATGTCAAAATGCAGAAGACTGCAGCCTGAAACACACAAACTCTATGGAGATGAGCCCTTCTTGAGAAGCTGCCAGTTGTGCAGCTACTCAAGAATTTCCTGGCATTTTATGGAACCCGAAAGTTCATCACCGTGTTCACAAGAGCCCTCCACTGATCCCTATCCTGAGCAAGCTCAATCCGGTCCATACCACCCCATCCTCTTTCTCTAGGATCCATTTCAATATTAGCCACACACCTACATCTTGATCTTCTTCTGGCTTTCTCACCAAAATCCTATTTGCAATTCTCGTTGCCATTCATGCTACATGACCTGCCCACCTCATCCTCCTTGACTTGATCATTCTAATTATACTTGGAGAAGAGTACAAGTTATGAAGCTCCTCATTATGCAGTTTTCTCCAACCTCCTGTCACTTTATCCCTCTTCGGTCCAAATATTCTCCTCAACACCCTGTTCTCAAACACACTTAGTCTGTGTGCCTCCCTTAATGTCAGAAACCAATTTTTGTGCCCCTACAGAACCACAGGCTAAATTATAGTTCTTTATGTTCTAATTTTTACGTTTCTAGTCATCAGACAAGAAGACAGAAGGTTGAGGACCCAACAGTAGCTCAGCCTGGAACAGTTACTGTCACAGGTACCCAAAAATTCCCTGCCTTCAATTCCTATATTAGGATGTGAATCTTTGTTATCTGTTTAGAAGTTCACTGACTTTTTCTGAAAGATCAGTGACTCGTACTATACTACATGATGTCCCATCCCAGGAGAGTAATTTTTGGCAGCCAATGCTGTAAGAACTTAAATCCAAGATGTGACTTTATTTTTCAGTAAATCAGTGACATTTAATCGAGAACAACTGGATGAACGAAGTCAACAGATGAACAAGGTGCTGTTACAAGTTCAGAAGCAGGCAGTATTGCTTGGCAACAAGGTACAGCTTGAGCATATGAAGAATCGTCTCAATGTATCAGAAACTTCAAACCAGAAAGTTATACAAGAGCATCAGGAAACATCCGGTGGGGGCACCAAACAAATGGAACACCTGTACAGTACTTCAGAACCTTCAGTTTTCATAGTTCCAGGTGCAGAAACTGAGGAATTGATGGAAAATAGTAATTGTTCTGTACCAACCCTGACATATCAAGGAGAAACTCTCCACAATTTTTAAACGCACAATAGAGATACAATAGATGAATTGAAGCTTGATATGCTAACATCGCCAAGCACAGTAGAAGGGGAAAAGACAGATATGTCTTCCTCAAAATGTGTTTGTGTTGCGGCACTTCCCATAAATTATCAGTAACAAGCATAAAATATTTTGGGATACCTTCATGCATACTACATGTTAAGACACCCTCCACAGTTTAAAGAATTATGTCTCATCTGGAAATGTCACAGAAAAATCTCATTGCAAATCCCACACACAGAAGTAATTGTAGTAACAGAACTTTGGGTAGTCTACTGTGATATTCAAAGGCATAATCCGGTGCCTGATCGCTTGCTCAATGGCGAAGAAATGAAACTTGATACTCTAAATGTAGAACTAGAAGCTGTAGATCTTGATCCATAAATCTGTTGTCCTTTATATGGTTTGATTTTCAAAATCTGTGAAAGGAATGTAATATATACTTTGTATCATAAAATTGTATTATGACTAACAGATTCACTTCAAAATCATTACTAACATATGATTTTTATCCTTATGTATAAAGTTTATAAATAAATTATGACTGTAGTTTGTATATATTGTAAATATATTTGTTTGAAATCAGGGTATGTTAATAGAGTAAGAAGAGAAACAATTACAATAGTCTTGACTATGTAAAAAGGGTGGATAGCACGAGGATGCTGAGAAGTATGACCTGCCAAAGCATCAGTGGACTGCTGCCAGACTACACGGCGTCACATCCTGGAAGATTGTACTCTTCATTGTTACTGCGTTAAGAACTGCAGATGTGATACACCAAGACAGTTTAGCCCAGCAGTTTAACATGTCACAAAGAGAGAAAGTAGCCGATGAGAAATCTAAAAGTAACGACGGTGGAACAAAATAAGAGCTCAGAGACTTTTCATCCATCAACCCAGATAAAGCAGAAACATAGCTAGGAAGGGGGAGGCAGAAAAGGAGCAGGAAAGATGTGATGATGTATTGTAAAATATAGTATATTTATTATTTATTTATTTTTAAATAAAATAAATATGACTGGAGTGATATGTAATGAATTATTAAAATAATTTAAAATGTGTAAGAAAGGAGCCACAGAACTCCATCTGGTTTTGTATTTTGTTGATAAAGTGTCACTTCCTTCACATTTTAATTCTCTTTATGTTCCGTTCCACATTTTCCCCTTTTGAATAAGGACTCTCTTAATTTTTAACCTCCTAAGATGTGTGTGTCAATAGACCTTGAAAGAGGTCAAATTTTTCTTGAAGAGTATATAGTTCAGATAGAGCCCAATGCTTTGGAGGAACATATCTTAAGGGTTGAAGGATAAACCAAACAAGATACCAGGTGAAGCAAATGGCAAGCTGGGCATTGCTACTCAGAAGAGTGTATTTTTCATAGTCACTGCTATGAGGACCTCAAATTTGAGATGTTAAGAGTGTTTCAGTTGCTACTCAGCTAGAATATTGGTATGCACATCAATAGATCTCCAGTTGTGAATGTTCCCCAGCAATTCCCTCATCATTGCGGTGAAGGTATTTTCAAGTGGAGAGATGAGAAAAAAAGGTAAATCCTGAAGCAGAGTTAGAGTTTTTTTTTTTTTTTTTTACATAGTGGGGGCTGGAGTCTAACTGGGTCCATTCAGCACGTCAGACACTGATTGGCCTATTGTACCTTCCCTGGATGATTATGATGATGGAAAATTTGGTGGAATGAAGATTGGCAAGGGAAACTGTTGAGCGTTGTACAAAATACTGACGTACACTTTACAAATGAAATGCTTAGTTTCTTATGAAATATATGATACACACATTAACCACTGTGCTGTGTTCTGTTGACGTTTCCAATTCTAGATATTGATAGATCATAAAATAATGAAAAAGGTCTTATTTTGTCAGTTTGGTCATTTAGAAATAGAAGTAGAACAAAGTAGGAGAACTTCATGATTTTGTTCTATTAGGACAAGAATAGTTCAGTGTAAAAGATTATGATTGAGTAGACATATAGATGAAATGGCTAATGCAGGAAACTCATTCCAAGATTTATTAGTGAAGTTTTTCAGGAAATGACCACAGTGAAGGTGAAAATGGGAGAATGATATTAATTTTTATCTTAGTGAAATAGGTTTTGGTAACATGGGCTTGATTATGCTGGTTTGTATAATTGTGTTCTTTGGTCAATATACTTTTTCTCAGCTCTATTTCTGCTCCAATACCAGAGGTGGCTAGTATTGCAAAGCTGTTTTATAACTTAAGCATTTAATGAACATCTTGTCACTCTGGAGACCAATGTTCAAACCCAGGATAGTTCATATGATATTTCAGAGAACATGGAAGTTCCTCTGTATAATTATGTATCTACCAAACTGAGGGTACGCAGTAGTTCAGTTGGTTGAGGCACTTATGCTGCAAGCGGGAAGGTCGCAGGTTCAACTCCTGATGAGATGTATTTTTTCAATTTATCTAATCCTTCCAGCCGCACTATGGTCCTGGAGTCAACTCAGCCTCTAACAGAAATGAGTACCAGGAATCCTGGGATGTAAAAGGCAGCCGGTGCAGAAGGCTGACAACCTTACTGCAATCTGTGAACCGATTGTCTAGAAAATGTGGGAGCCTTAACCTCTCACAACCCTATGAGCCTTCAGGGCTTGTTACAGGGATAACTTTACCTTTTTATCTATCAAACTAGTGTTACATTTTCAAGACAGTATTCTTAAAGTTACATAACACATATTTAATATTTTCAGCAATATATCTTATCATCATGTCCATCATTCATACATTCTTACTTGTCACTGTTTTGTATATCTATCAGTAGCTGATAACATGAACACTTGATAATCTGAAGATCAATAGAAATTATCAGTGTTTTTCCAGTACTTACATTGCTAACACTCAGCTACCTGCTGAAATATAGAAATTTCAACTCTAGGCTTATGTGCTGTTTGAAACAATTTTAGCGTGGTGAATATTTCATATGATCATTTTGAAATCATTATTGATATCCAGTGTCAGCTTGTTGAATCTGCCCCATCTTCACTGGAGCCCCATTAGCCATTGCTTTCAGGGTTCCTTCTCAGCTTCTGCTGCATGGCCCCAGAAGGCAGGGCACTTGCTTTATGTTACCCTCTTCTATGGGATGGATGCAGGTATTGCTCTTTGAAGTGAGCACAAAGATACTGAGAAGGACAAAAATGGATTTAAAATTTAAAGGAAGAAAAGACCTGTGGGACAATCCGGAACAAAATGGTTGGGCCAGGAAACTTGAAAGGAAAGATTATGCGGAAAAAAAACAGATTGAAGACGTTTTGTCTGGTGATAGGTGAAAAGTAAAGTTATGTGTGAGTACCACTCATGAAGACATAGAAACAAGTAGGATACTATAACAGTAACTCTTAACTCATAATTGAGGGGTGGTTAGTTTAAATCTTGATGAGGGCGCAGACTACCGTCACTAAGATTTGTTATAGTTTGTTATGTCCTTCCAGGTGCATGCCAGATTATGGCAATTAAGCCACAACCCCGACGCTTCTTGAGAATTTTCATAATGCTGAAGAGATGGAGGTTGGAGAAAACTGCGTAATGAGGAGCTTCATAACTTGTACTCTCCCCAACTATAATTAGAATGATGAAGCCAAGGAGGATGAGATGGGCAGGGCATGTAGCACGAATAGGGGAGACGAGGAATGCGTACAGGATATTGGTGAGAAAGCCAAATGGAAAGAGACCACTGGGAAGACCAAGGCGTAGGTGGGTGGACAATATTAAAATGGATCTTAAGAGAGATATGATGGTGGTGGTATGGACTGTATTGATCTGGATCAGGTTAGAGACCAGTGGAGGGCTCTTGTGAACACGGTAATGAACCTTCGGGTTCCATAAAATGCTGGGAAGTTCTTGAGTACCTGCACAATTGGCGGCTTCTCAAGAAGGGCTCAGCTCCATGAATGATTAAGCAATGATGGCCATGACAAGAGTTCTGTTCACGAGTAGTAAAGGTTCTGGGTAAACAGTAGCAAATGGCTGCGATTTTTTTAACTATTTCTATGCTATGAAACATGATAAACGCAGTAGTATATGATTTACGTGCGGGAGGCTACCAAGTTCGGTAAATATTCAGTACTGCCCCACCACGTTTTCCCATCGAACTGTAAACACCGCTTAGTTGGTGTGCAAGAGAGGCAGTTGGTAAAGGACAGGGCAAATACAGAAACTTCACGAATGTAAATAGACTGCAGTTGAATACTCATGACAGTTGTGTTCACTGTTCAAGATATATGTCTATATAGTAGTTAATGAGCGAGGAGTCTTTTGTTTTCATTATTATGTATGTTCTGTGAGTGCAGATAATGTTTGGAGAGTATGGTTATATGACGTGTAGATTTCTTTTAATGCTAGTGGGGTGGGACTAAGTCCCTTGTACTGCGGCCACTTCTGGCCTATTATACCAGCCCCAGATGATAGGTGAGGGTGATGGTGGAGCAATTGATGGAATGAAGAGTGGCAGGGGAAACCGAAGTGCTCGGAGAAAACCTGCCCCAGCGCCACTTTGTCCACCACAAATCCCACTTGACCAGACCCGGGGATCGAACCCGGGCCACCGCGGTGGGAAGCCAGCGACTAACCGCGTGATGTGTAGTTAGTATTTACGATAGAATGTAAATTAGTTTATGAATATTTGTAAGATTTTATTTAAAACAGAAACCTGCTAGATCTCCATATACGTGTATATCTTCAGTTCAGTAAAATAGTTTCCATTGCTCTGATAGGAAGCTCAAGCATTGTTACTTATTACGTGTCTCAGAAATGACTGTTGGCTTAAAGCAACTGTAGATTTTGTGTACGGTTGGCCATTGCATATATAAGGCCTACATATTACGACTAATACTCACCTTCAACTAATGCCGAGATCAAGAATAATTAGATCTATACATACACTCCCCCATAGCGGCCTCCGTAGTCTAGGGGTAACGTTCCCACCTCGTGGAATTTTTAAGGGCGGAAAAATTCAGGGAACAAGTCCTCCGGGAGGGACTTTAAGCCGTGGGTCCCGTGTCGTAGCTTTACGGCACGTAAAAGAACCTCATGTCCCAAGGGGACCACTGAGCCAAATTCAGGACATTCCCGCCCACCAGTAGTCTCTAACGCCTCTGGTGGATGGGGGAAGCATCGAGATACCGCTGAGCCAGTAGAGGCCGAACTCGCTGGCTGAGTCGGGACTGATGGCACGCGCCAGTACCGGTAGGGAATAGAGACTGATAGAATATCATAAGGGGACGCACAATGGACCAACAGTTGGTCTAAGTGCATGGGGAAACCCACCCTCTCCAATACAATACAATACAATACAATACACTCCCCCATATGTTTTCGTGTCGTATTGCTTAATTACTTAAACACAGGGGCGAATTTACCTTCTTACACCAGCAATATTCATGACTGCTTGAATTCAGATCTTCGTGAAGATCATACTTCACAGCTACACTCTTACCGTGTATGTCTCCTAGTAATATGAAGCGTCCTGGGAACAACATAACCCATTCTATATGCCTATTATATATTAGTTAAAATATTTTTTTTTTTGCTTTTAATTTTTAAATGCCGAGGAAAGTTTTAATCGCTTCGTCGACCAGCTATAGAATGAACAAGAACGAGATGGGCATGACATGTAGCGCGCATGGGGCCGAAAAGGGATGGTGGGAAAGCTATAAGGAAGAAGATAACTAGGAGGAACTACACGTGGGTTGAAGAACAATATTAAAATTGGTCTTAGAGAAACAGAATGTGGAAGGATGGGCTGGATTCATCTGGCTCAAGATAGGGGCCAGTGGCGGGCTCTTATGGACAAGTTAATGAACCTTCGAGTTCCATAAAATGTTGGGAAGTTCTTCGGTAGCTGAGCGACAGGCGGCTTCTCAAGAAGGGCTGAGCTCCATGCAGTTAGTTAGGCCAGAAGGTTGGGAAATTCTTGACAGACATGTCCAGTATCATTGCTTCTTTCGCATAAAATTAATTAATGTAATGTGTTACAGAGAGACCCTCTCGACACCTTTATTTGAATAGTTAGGCAGTGTCGGTAAGCCCTCAAATAGAAGTAAACGGAAGTGAAGTTACGGTACCAATACATACACGAGTCAAGTCTCCATATCCTTCTATATACAGAGTGCCCCAGGAGGAAAGGTCAATATTCTAGGAGGTCATAGTATCGGCCATTCTAAGCAAAAAGTGTATATGTACATTTGACCTATTCCGAACGGTTTCCGAGACAGAGCTATTTCACTGTACAGTTCCAAAACTGTTGATAAGAAAGAGATATTACGTACTGTTTCTAATACCGGTATTTACTGTTCAAGTGTCAAAGTTGGTACCGTTTACCTAATACATATAATACATTTTCGAAAATTCCACCGTCAACATCAATGCACTTTGCAACTCGTGTGAGGACACGGCGTGTTGCTCGTCTGTACAGTGTACAGTGAAATAGCTCTATCTCGGAAACCGTTCGGAACAGGATACATGTACGTTTATGTTTTTTTGTTTAGAATGACCGATATTATAACATCCCGAAACCTTTCTTCCTGGGGCACTCCGCCTATAAAAAGTAACGAAACGTCAAGAGAAAGCTTTGAAATTTCACAGTTTCATGTTACCATGGCAACGAATTCTCGGAAGAGGTACAGGTAATGCGTTGCATGTATTTGGTTATAAATTAAGTCACAAATGAAGATGTCTTCTTTTCTGTGTATCGTGTCTATTCTGTGTGTGTTGATAATATTTCGATGTTGATATTAGAAATGTAGTTTAAAATACTATAAAGGAGACAGTGTACTATTTACTGATTGAATGTGTTATTCGTGGGAGATGGCGTTCAACGTCGGCTTCGACGTCTCAGTCGATAACGCGTAGGAATAGAAAGGAATGCTGCAGACGGTAGGGGTAATTAATAGAACGAAATCTTACATAGCAAATAAAGAAACTTACCGTTGTATTCTTAACGGGCGTTATTTTAATGTGAGTGTGTGTGGGGTTCAAGGCGCATGTGCAGTAACGTCTATATGCGCTTGAAATTGAGGAAGTCCCAGGAGAAAGTCTCAACTGCTGTTCATACAGTTTATAACCCAACATTGCAACAAACGAACAGTTACAAATGTTCTAGCTGTGTGCTCTGAGCACAATGCATTTGGAACAAAGAAAAATCTGCCCCTTGGCGGGCTCCTTCAGTGAAATATAGTTCCAGGGGCGGAAGGAACCTTGAGGGCGTCTGCAGGTTCAAGGAATGTCACGCCGCGATGGTCAGGACCGCAGCCTCTGTACGTAAGTTTTAACTTCGTTGTGGGGCGGTTCGGGCCGGAAGACGGGCTCCCCGTTCTGGCAGTAGTCTTCATATCGCATCGTGAACACGCATTCGAGCCCTAACCTGGCAACGGCTAGAGCTGAGAAGTGGCTCGTGCAGTCAACACGGAAGAGAGGATAGCCTTTTTCCTTCGCCAGTTCTCTGCAATGTGAGAAAAACGAGTTGTATAAGTGACGTAACGTAGAAGAAGGGCACAAAAACGAGAAAGGAATATAAGGGAGGGAAGAAGAGTGAGTAAGCGAAGAAGGAACAACATCCAGATAGACTTCGCCCTTCGCTGACCTTGACTTTTCGAGGAGTGCCTTTGCGATGCCTCGGCCGCGCACTGCAGTGTCCACGGACAGGATGCGCACCTCGACGAGTCTGTCGACATCGGGAAACTTGCTGAAGACCTCAGAACCGCGCTCTACGGCAACCAGCAGCTGCAGGATCTTGCGGAACCGTGGGTTCGGGCAATTGTCCGCGTTTTCCTGCATCTCGTCCAGGTGCCCCGGCTCGTGGGACCCGTTCAGGGACACTCCAACAACTTTTCCAGTAGCGGACAGCGCCATCAGGGACAGACCTGGCGAAGGGACAAGGACATCCGTTATCGTACCAACTGGATACGGCTCTCACAGTGTTGACACACATAACGGACTGCCGCGACTTCACATTTACATGGACCCTTTTGCCGGGGGGGGGGGAAGAAAATTTTGTTTACAAACGTACGTTTAAGCGGTTTGAGAATATATTTTATTGGCCATCCCAGAGTTTAGGTTTCTGTATTGAAATAAAAATTGAGGCACGCGGTATCGCAGTTGGTTGAGGCACTTTGCTACAAGCCGAAGGTCACGGGTTCCATTCCCGATGTCATTGGGGTTTTTTTTTTCAGTTGACCTAATCCTTCCAGCAGCACTATGCCCTTGAAGTCGACTCAGCCTCTAACAGAAATGAGTACCAGGAATCTTACTGGGGTTAAAAAGCGGCCAGAGCGTAAGGCTGACAACCTCACCGATATCTGTGGGTCGATTTTTTATAAATATGGGAGCCTCGACGTCTCAGAACCCTATGGGCCTCCACGATCTGTTACAAGGACAGCTTTGCCTTTCTTATTGAAAAATAAATGGCGCCACAAGATCCTTTGGTAGTATTTTTTGATATGTTTCTCCTTAATTTTAAATCCCGATTTTTTCAAAAACCCAGTGTAGAGGGGCTTGGCAGTTACCTGGCTCCCCCCTCCCCAGGAATATTTATTGACTTCAGTCAGAAAAACAAAACACTGACGAATACTGTCTTCTGACATGTGACGCCATGTAGTGTGATAGTTCGTTGTCGCGTTTCGGAGGAACCTGCTTCCTCCATCTTCAGGGTATGAAAATAAACGAAGCCTAGAGAGAAGTGGCACGGATAGACTTACAGAGATCCTGTGAAGTATTTCACGTATTCTTCTTAAAGTAAGGTAAAGTTGTCCCTATGCTTAACTACAATTAAGTATTACGCCATTAAGACGTATGGGGGAGTGGATGTATAGACCCACGCTTTCTTGACCTCGGCTGTAAATGGATGCAAGTGGCCAGCTTTATGCCCCGGCCGTTTTATCGAGCCCCCGGTATGCATTGGATAGGAGCCTCGGTGGCTTCCAGAACCGTTTAAAGAGAAAAATCTTTACCGTACCGGGACCCAGACACTGGCCCCTCGGTCATCCAGGCCGTAGCCAGTCGCTGTACCGACTGAGCCATCCTGCCTCCGTTTTCATAAGAATGGAATTAAATATTAGTAATATTTCTGCAAGATTTGCGTGTCTCTGGTATAGGAAAGGTCTGTGGGTTCAATCCGGAATTGTTCGTTTGCTGTAATCTGTAGAGAGCACTGCAGTACCTTCCAGAATTGTCTCCACGCAGTAGTTCTCGAGTTCTGCGCATGTCTCGTTCCCGCTCTCGCCTAACAGCTTTATGTACACGTTGAGCGGCTCTTGGCGGAAGAAGAACCTGCGCAGATGGTCCAGAACCATTTCGTTGTCCTCAGTGGTGACTGGGACAATTGTGTAGCTCGGTTCCGACATCGCCACTTGTGACGGGCAGTGTTCCTGAAACGGTAAAATAACATCTTTAATTAGATTCTAAAGGGTTCTGATGATGGTGGATTATACATAAATTACTAGGGTTTTGGACTTTTTCCATCGTCTAGAATTTTAGGTAATAGAGGACACGACGTTTCGGAAACTGGATCTGTTTCCATCTTCTGATGAGAAAGGAAGACACTGAGTAGGTGTCTTCCTTTCTCAACTGAAGACGGAATTTTAGGTAATAGAAGAAACGACGTTTCGGAAACTGGATCTGTTTCCGTATTCAGGTGAGATGGAAACATATCCAGTTTCCGAAACGTCGTGTCCTCTATTACCTAAAATTCCGGACGATGGAAAGTCCAAAACCCCAGTAAAATCTTTAATGATCTTCCAAATTCATACTCACCTCACATTCAGAACTCCAAACTGTGGAAAAAAGGGTATGTGAATTACAAAAACTTGTCTGTTAGTAATAATGCTATACTGCAAAGATACTTTTAATTACTCCTTTATGTAGTAGCCGTGATAGCTCAGTCGGTATTGCGACTGGCTACGGGCTGGAGAGCCGAGGGGTCGGAGTTCGAGTCCCGGTGTGGCAATAATTTTCTCTTCTTCACGTCATACAGACCGGCTCTGAGGCCCACCCTGACTCCTATCCGATGTGTACCGACGGCTTTTTCCCCCGGGGTAAGTCGGCCGGGGCGCGAAGCTGACCACTCACCTCCAATTAGTGCCGAGGTCAAGAAAATGTGGATCTATACATCCACTCCCCCATACGCCTTCCTGGCATAGTACTTAATTACAGGGGATGGACAAAAATATGGAAACACCACATGAAATGCATGCCTGAATTGAAGTGTTTATTTATCGACGTTTGTAGATGACGCTGTCTTACCTGCCCAATATCACTACCTGTACAACCTCCGCAATACGTTGCAAGCTTCATTTATTGTCGAGACAGTGTTCTGTGCAGTATTTAGTGCATCATATCAGAGCTAACAGAATTCGAACGCGGGCAAATTGTTGGGGCCCATATGGTGGGTTCTTCTGTAACCAAGGTAGCCAAGGTTTTTGGTGTTTCGCGAGGCACAGTATCCAAGATTATGACCGCATATAGGAGGACTGGAAAAACCGCATCCGATAAACACCGGCGTGGACGGAAATGTGTGTTGAGTGATCGAGACAGACGAACATTGCGTAGGATTGTGACGAAAAATAAGAAGACTACAGATGCAAAAGTGACTGCTGAACTGAATATCACACTCACAAACCCTGTCAGCACGAAAACAGTACGAAGGGAACTCCACAAGCAGCGTATTTCTGGATGAGCTGCAATTCCAAAGCCACTCATCAGCGATCAAAATGCCACTGAGAGGACATTGTGGTGCCGAAGTCATGAAACCTGGGCTATGGAGCAATGGAAGACGGTCATTTGGTTGGATGAGTCCACCTTCACACTGTTTCCGACTTCTGGCCGAGTTTACGTCTGGAGAACGCCATCCCAAGCTTACGGTCCAGATTGTTTGCTGCCAAGAGTGAAACATGGCGGGGTTCGATCATGGTATGGGCAGCCATACCGTGGTATTCTGTCGGACCCATCATTACCCTGCAAGGTCACGTCACTGCCAACGACTATGTGACCATTTTGAGCGACCAGGTCCATCCCATGGTGCAAACTTTGTTCCCCACTGGTGATGCTATTTACCAGGACAACAGTGCGTGTGTTCACACAGCTCACATCGTCCAGGACTGGTTTTCTGAGGACGAAGATGAAGTGTCACGTCTGCCATGGCTCCCACAATCGCCAGATATTAATATTATTAAGCCTTTGTGGTCTGTTTTGGAGAGCAATCTGCGTGCGCGCTATCCACCTCCATCATCGTTAACAGAACTTGCCAATGTTTTGCAGGAAGAATGGTACAAGATTCCCTTGCAAATCATACAGGACCTCTATTTATCCATTCAAAGGAGACTGCAAGCAGTTTTGCAAGCCAGAAGTTGTCCTACACCATATTAGTCATGGTAATGTGTTTTTTTGTTGGGTGTTTTAATATTTTTGTCCATGCCCTGTAGTTAAGCATAGGGACAACTTTACATTGTACTGCTTATGATGCAGGAAATAAGGCCATATAGTGAGTCATCTGCCCGTCTGTCCGTGACTTAGTATCAGAGACTCAATAATTTGACATACACGTATTTCTTCAAACATGTGTATGAAGACTGTCACTAAAAGTTGTCGGACATCTCTGATTTTGGACCACATTCACCCACAATACGGCCAAATTTACTTTCAAAATGTAGAGGTAAAGGTAAATTTGTCCCTCTGCTTCAGTAACCAGACACTGCACCAGGGAGACATATGGTGGAGTGGAGGTATAGCTCCACCAACTTCGATCTCGGCACTAGTTTCAGATGAGTGGTCAGCTTCACACCCCGGCCGCTTTACCCTTCGGGAAAGATAGAATAGTAGGCTTGGTGGTTACCGGAGCATGTCTGGACACTGTGGAATAGTGAGAAATCTCTTACCCCTGCTGGGGTACTTTTATGCCATGAAGATGGATGCAGTATATTCCTCCGAACTGAACGGCGTCACAATCCAGAAGATCGTGCTCCTCAAAGTTTCTGTAGTAAGAAGGCGAAGTAAAAAAATAACCAATAGATCATAAAGGCCGTGATGGTAGGTATAGTGGCCAATCTCAAGGTCGTGATGATAGGTAAAGTGGCCAGTCTCAAGGCCGTGATGGTAGGTATAGTGGCCAGTCTCAAGGCCGTGATGGTAGGTATAGTGGCCAGTCTCAAGGCCATGATAGTCGGGCTGGAAAACAGAGGAATCGGGTTCAATTTCCTGCCAGGGGAAGAGCTTATTTTCTTAACCGCAATGTCCAGACCGACTTTAGGGTCCACCCTATAAAATGTGTACAGGGGACTTCCCCAGGATTAAAGCGGCAGGAGCGAGAATCTGACCCCCCCCCCAAGAATGGTGGAATTATACCTTCACTCACCAATACGTCTTCATGTATTGGTGCTTAATTAATTAAGCCCAGGATACGGACCGCGAAACGCTTGTTGGTCTTCAGAGTGTAACCAGTACTGGACAGAATCGACACATTTTAGCAAAGCCGCCCACGATAAAATTTAATACAAATCCGTTCAGCGATTATCGAATTATTGCATAACGAAGACAATAAGGCACTTTTTTTTGTTGCGAATTTTCATTGCGAACGCGGCAAACGCTGAGGCATTGTTGCCACGAGCGTTCGTGCCGCACCTTAGCGTGTGGCTGCGTGGAAACAGCTCCATTTAAATCAGTGTTTCGCCAAGTGATCTTGCTCTGGACTCTCCTAGCAAAACTTATGTAAACAGTACAGTTGCCTCATTAGAAAATTACAAGCTTCCTCTCAGTCCTGTGATGTAATTAATTATGTAATTTCGATTATGAAATTGTAGCACCAAAACAGAAACAAAGTAACATTAATGAAATGGCTGTCCTGATCAAGGTTGACGAGTTACGTAAACACATTAACACAAGCGTCACCTTGTAGCAGTCTACGCTGCATTCCTAGTGAGACAGGAGGCCGGCTGAGATGTCTCACCTCTGTATCTCTTTTTTGTGCGGGGGGGCGTCATTTTACGTCGCTGTCAGTGGCAAGATTATACAGAGTCGAAAGATGAATTGCAAAGGATCTGAAAGGAAGCTGTTATGACGTAATAAAACGATTATACTGAAGAGACTGAGGGAAATCCGGATATTCTGTGCCCTGGCCAAGATTCGAACCCATAACCTTTTCAATAAAAGTACAGATCATGATTTAATGCAATCGTAATGAATTAAGTCTTCTTGGGCTATCAAATGCTTCAATGTGGATTTAAATGCGACGTTCCGGAAATTGTGGAGGCCGTACCATGGCTGAGAGGGTTAATCGCCGGCTTCCCAACGCGACAGTCTCCGTTCGATCCCAGATCATATGGGATTTGTGGTGAACAAAGTGGCGTTTTCTCCGAGTACAGCGGTGTCCCTTGCTAATTCTCATTCCACCAACTGATCCGTATTCATTTTACTCATCCTGCCATATATAGTCTCGATAGCGTCATTAAATAACCAAATAAAACCTGATGATGGAGGTGGAGACAGTCTCCGAAACGTCGGATACTGATTTCATATTTACTAGGATGATCGCTCGAAAAGTCTTCGTTTCTTAAGTCTAGAGCGTTATTGCTACTCAAACGGGCTGGTGCTTCGACGTTTCGGCGCGGTACATAGAAGGTAGCGAGACTGTATAAACAAAGAAATTAACCCAGGCTGAGTACCCAACTCCACAGAGCCAAGTCCTCGTCGAGAAGCTGACTGTAGCCGAACCAGTCAGATTCCCTGGCTTTTGTCGACAGGAACGCTCATTGAAGAACACTGTCTCCTGTGATATAACGAAGTGTAGTCCTTTGAAAGTCGAAGGACGTTTCGGAGGAGCATATCGCCTACATTTTCAGGGTCGAAGAATAATCCGAGCAAGGTACCAACGTGAAAGCAGGTGGCAAGTTCAAAGTGATATGTTCCTGCTAAACGTCGGTTGACTTTCAACGGACTACACGGAGTTATATCACAGGAGACAGAATTCTTCACAACCACCGGCGTGAGAACCTCAGATCCTACACGGCGCTATATCTCAGAAAATGCGATACTTCATAACCACCGGCGTGAGAACCCAAAATCCTACTTTGAAAATTCATTAGCCTGTGAGATTCGAGTGTCTTATAGCGGTAACTTTGTAATATACTGTCTTATTTGATGTGACGCTGTGTAGTCTGGTAGATAGTTATGGATATTTCGGAGGGACGTACTGTCTCCTTCTTCGGGGTAGACACCAGACTACATGGTATCACATCCCAGAAGACAACGATCTTCCTTTATGATTGTCTTCCCAGCAGTGAATCCAATCCAGGCCATATCCACACGTAATATACCTTCCAGACAAAATTTAATGTTATACTCCCATCTATATCTAGATCTACCAAGTTTTATATTCCATTCATT